CTCCAGGATCTGCTTGCCCAGCCGCAGCGTTGTGCTCAGCGTGAAGGTGCCTCGAGGCTGACTGCGCCGCAGGTCGGCCAGGTTCCGGCCCTGGGGGTGGGCAGGGTGCGGGCCTGTGAGACTGCCCAGCCTCTCCCACAAAGAGTTGTGCCCCTCCCCACTGGTCCTGGGGACCAGTCTCCCCTCCCAACTCCCCACCCTGAGTCACAGCCCAGGCTCTTGGGGGAGCAAGGAAGGAGGAGGGCCACGGGGCCTCACCTGGAGCTGCATCACCACGTAGTTAAACTTCTCGTTCCTGCCACAGCCAATGAACCTGCACACGTGGTCCTTCCCTGAGGGGCACAGACAGGGCTCTCCCAGGCCTGCTCCTTCCCCCTCACTTCCGGCCCTGGCCCATGAGCACCTCTGCCACACCTCCTCCTGCCCTCAGCCCTCACTCTCTTAGACCCCGGTCCCATCACCTCCCTGAAGCCATGGAGCCCTCACCTCTGCCATCACCACCCTATCCTCTAACCCCCTCACTTCAGACCCTGGCTCCATCACCTCCCCTCAGCTCTCGTTCCATCCCCTCCTTCCCCACCATTCCCCTCTCCCGGCTTTAATCCCATCTCCTCTGACCCCAGGCTCCATCGCCTCTTCCCTCCCATCCCTGCTGCGCCCGCACCTTGCAGCTTTTTGAGCACGGCCACCTCCATCTTGAGGACCTGCTTGGGCTGCTGGGCTGACTCCACCTTGAGGGCCACATTCTCCCGGGTCAGCAGGTCCATGGCCTCATAGATCTCACCAAAGCCCCCGCCCCCGATCTTTTTCAGCTGTGGAGATGGGGGACAGGAGATCAGGCTGAACAGCTGCCCATCCCACCCCAGTTGGGCCAGACTCTTCCTTGATGGGGCCAGGGGGTACCTGTCCTCCCGGCCTTGCCCTACCCCATCAGTGCCCCAGGGCAGACGGCTCAGCCCACGGTGTACACGCCCAGGGCTAGATGAGTGGGCAGAGGGAGGCTCAGAGACCCGCCCCTCCACACAGACACCAACAAGCCTGTCTAGCCTTCTGGAGAGACACTGGGCCATCCTGGGCCTTTCCTCCTAGGAGGACAAGATCGTGGCCTTCCCCCTCCAGCTCTCTGCCATCCAGAAGGAAACCTGGTACTGCGATTCCGCCCCTGCCCGCCCCCCAATCTCAGGGTGGCTCCCAAGGAAGCTGCCACTTTCTGGGGCTGGCAGTCTTCTGAAAGATGTCACCAGAGGGAGAGAGCACATGCAGGTGGGGACCTAGCAAAGGATGTGCACGGCCCACTCCCACTGCGAAGGCTTTCTTCACTCCCTAGGTGCCAGATGTCAGATGCCCCAAATCAGGGAGAGGCTTCTCTCCGGGCCTGTAAGAGCAGGGATGGAGTGGGGAGGAAGGGGTATGAACTGCCCCAAACCTCCTCCTCCAGCCTCCCAGAGCGGGGAGTGAGAAGGCCAAGAGAACCCTGGTGGAGAGGGAGTGGAAGGGAAGGTGAGCAATACGGAGTTCACAGCGAAAATTCAAAACTATTTCAGACCATCAGGTGGCATGGTGCTTAGGGCACTGGATCCCACATGGCCAACTCTGTGGTTCATGACCTGGACCTGGCAGATTGAAAAACATGACAGTGAGGGGGCCAGCAGATGGCGTAGCGGTTACATCGCTGGACTCCCACATGGGCGACTGCAGTTCGAGTTCTGGAACCAGTGGCTTGGAATTCACACTGAGCACACACTCGTGCATGTCCAAGATCCTGGGAAGAGAATGAAGGGATTGTGGCATGGCCATTCCCCTGGGGCAGCGATTTCTCATTTTTCCTCTCACTGTCTCTGTCTCTGCCTCCTTCTATCAAGTGCATGCACCCTAAGGCAAAATACCTCTACAAAAAAAAAAAAGATGATAACAATAATAAAAGAAAAAAAAAAAAAAGCAGACATGACTGGCAAATGTGCATGCATGCCCAAAATCCTGAGAAAAGAATAGAAGGGATTGCGATATCGCCCTCACCCTGGGGGCTGATTTCGCATTTCCTCACTTTCTCTCTCTCTCTCTCTCTCTCTGGTGAGCTCTCAAGTCCTATAGCAAACTAAAACAAACAAACAAGAGCATAGAGATCCAGGGGCTTGGAAGGTGATGAGGGCAGGGAGAGGCGTGGAGTGCTAAAGTATAGCTCCATTCTCACCTCTCCCGGGGAGCTGCACTCAAGGATGGCTTGCCCTCTAGGCATCGTCCTGAGCTCCACTGCGTGTGTAGCTCCTGCCACCACCACCGCCACCACTGCCACCACTGCCACCGCTGACAGCTGTGTTCTGATCGGCCCTCCCTTAGCAATTACCCAGCCCACTCACTGCTGAAGGTGGGAATGGAGAGAGGCAGGGGAGAGGGTAGAACTGGAGGACTGGGACTTGCCAGCAGGTCACAACAAAATCGCTCCAAACAGAGGACTCCAGAAAGATTCAGAAGAGATGTGGAAGGAGGTGGGAACTCAAAAGGCCCTCACACCCAAGGAAAAGACGGGGAAAGGGAGAAGAGTAGTAAAACACTAGAGTACTTTTCTACTGGAGACAGAAGAATTTCAGACCCAGGAGGGGACAGACCCAGACTCAAGGGAAACAGTGGCCTGTCTTCCTTTCCTCCAGGGAACTCGGAACTCAGGCAAGATGTTAATATCTTCCCGACTCCTGCGTGGTTTGCTGTGTGTGAGTGAGTACGAGGAAAGGCCAGGGGACGGACAACTGCACCTCAGAGTCACAGCTGTCATCTCAGTTAGTCCCCAGAGATTCCCAGCAACACGGTGAGGAAGGTCGCATGCGTCCTATTGTGCACGTGAAGAAAACTGAGGCACATGGAGCGCCATCCCTAGCCCCAGTCACGTTGCTCACAAACAGGAACGCCGGATCTCATCAGAACCCAGGCAGTCCACGGCAGAGCCCACGACGCAGAAGCCACAGCGTTATCGGACACATCGGCATTGAAAGTGTGAGGCTGAGCGTCAAGCCCAGATCTGCCATTTATGGTACCTACTCCCAATGTCCCAGGGCGCCCAGGGACCAGCTTCACTCCCAAACAGAGCCTCTTTCTCCTTCCTTAGTCTTCTCCATCCCTCACACTCCGACCGTGTCAGAACCTCCCTAGGGCAGGGAGCTCACCCTACACAGCTCCTCGCCGGGCCCTGCAGTGCAGCTGATCGATCTCCCAGGTACAGCAAACAGGCTCTAATACTTTTCAGGAGTTCATAAAACATGTTTTGCTTTATTTTGAGTGCAGAAGGGGAAAAGATACATTTTTAAGATGAAGAAAAATTTTTCCTATATGATATTGTACAAGAGGGTCTTCAAAAAGTTCATGGAAAATGTGTACTATGATAAAAGTATGCATGGATTTTTTAAAAAAAAACTTTTGCACCAATATAAACTTGCACTTTATTTATTTATTTTATTAATTATTATTAGCTTTTTAAAATTTGACCAGAGAGAGAGAGAGACAGAGAGAGGGAGAAAGGGAAAGTGAGAACGCAAGCCACCAGGTCAGGAACTCGAACCACAGTCAGCCATGTGGGAGTCTAGCACCTTAAGTACCATGCCACTTGCCAACCCCTAAACTTGCACTTTAATTTCACTTCTCCACAAACTTGGTAAAGCACCCTTGAAATCCTCTTCATACCACAGGAGTCATAAAATACAAAATGTTTATTTCCCCACAGGGCATGTGCATTTGCCAGAGAGAGACGGGGAAAAAAAAGAAAGAGGAGGGAAAGTGAGAATCCCACCCAGGGGTGGGTGACTGTGCTGAAATCCCTTCTCCTCCATTCTTCTCTTGGGGTTTTGGTCATGCACGCACACACATCCAACGTGATTTTCAAGCCGCCAGGTCCAGGACTTGAACCATGTAGTCAGCCATGTGTGATCCAGTGCCTTAACCTCCACGCCACCTGCTGGCCCCCAAATACAACTTTTAGTACTTTATTTTGGAGAAAGGGGCAGGGCTAAGGTAAGTACCTACGCCCCAAGTCAGGATGTGGCCCTGCCCTCAGCCCAGTAGAGTATTCTCTCAATGTCTTTTGTCAGACCCTATTCCTCCCCTTCTCCTAAGTCTTTTTCATGATCCCAAATCCTGCTG